AAGGTATGAACTGAAATGTGGGCAGTATAAGTATTCGAAGATGTGATCCCCAGTCGGTATGTCGGGCTTTAAGTTGCCATTCCTATGCGTAAAAAGAATTTATGTTTAAAGAAACCAAGTCCATCTAGTCAATATTAGGAATCACCTGATGAAAACTATACAAAAAATTACCACTCGAAAAAAGTTAATATTTTTATATTAATTATTATTATAAACCGACTTCAAGTCAATTGATTTGTAAGCTGCATGATTCAAACGAAATTAAAGGTATAAGAAAGAGAAAACGTAGTTTTTCAAAATAAACGGAATATTTTAACGAAAAAAAATATTCATTTAACGAAACGTTCTAATGACCTTATGTGTGAATGCTACGCTATGTTGGTATTAAATGACCGTTCATGAAGTCGAATTTATTTGAGTATCTGCGACCATTGTTTGAGTCAAAACGCTTCAATTTCATCATAGAAAAACAATGGTGATCTTTTCGAGTTTACGCTTTCATGCCTTTTTGATGCGGGAATTTCAATTGAATTCCTAAATGAAGTATTTGCGAGGCATGTCAGTAACTCTGTCAAACGTCATCGTACTCTATATTGTCTATGTCCATGATAACTAATTAAAACAGATATCAGCAGGCTATTTCGTTTCACCTATTACAAAGAAACAGGCGTCCAATAACATCAGGAACATCAAGGTAAAGTATGAATTAGTATGAAATGGTGCTAATTAGTGTGGTTGCCAATGTTAACAAATTCCAGAGCTCAAAATACGTTACTTCTTCTGTTACTTTAGCTGCGGTGCATTTTGAATAGTAGGTCCTACTATTATTTTTTTTTTTTGATTTTTTTATTAAAAATTACTTTTGTGCATTAACTTACAAACAAAAGGCAAATGGAATTTGTCGCAGTGTATAAATAAATTTAATACGAGTAGCAGAAAGAAACTTCTGTTAAAACTTCCATGTTACTAACAGTCTGAGTCATATGGCCATATCTGTAGACTAACAGTTTTAGTTAGATATAGTTTTAAATGTTAAGGTTTATTTATTTCTGTTTTTATTAATACCTAAGAGTGTTTATATAATGTATAGATTTTTTAATGCCCAATTTTTTTGTTTGTGGAAAACTATTTGCAATGAAGTTTCGATTAAAGTTTAAATAATAAAACAAAGGATAGAAATTAGCTATTAAGAATAGCTAGAAAAAATTTGAAATTCCAATTGTAATTATAGTGGGAGTGTCGTATTAAAACTGACAGAAATCGCTAAAAATAATTACGACATAAAAGAAATAATTTCGAAAAAAATTAAAAATGACAAAAAAATAATTTCAATTTAATTAACATTTCTGTTATGTCATAAATGTCGATGGGCTTACGCGTTTATTAATTCTTTAGCAAGCATTTAATTTTTAATAACATTTTTGTTTTCATTAATGCAACAATTATTGGTGCTGTTTGCCCTTAACATCCCTGTGCCTGTTATCCTCGCAGTTGAGTGTTTTTTTTTTGAAGGCGGGTATGCGAGTATGCGAAAGAACGCTAATTAAAATATCTGTCAAAGCATTGTCAATCGGAATTTTAATTGCATTTTTGTTGAAATCAATTTTATTTAAAATATTTATTTTTTATTTTCCTTCTTCTGTCCTGTCCTGTTCTGCTCTGTTCTGTACTGCTCTGTACTGCTCTGTTCTGTTCTTCTGTCCTGTTCTGGAAATTTTAATTATTATTTACAGCAAGGATTCAACAAACTGTTTTGCTGGCATTTCGTTTATTTAAACAGCATTGTAATTGCGATTTTATGAGAAGTACATATATATGCGGAAAAAAATACAAAAGAATTGATTAAGGGAAGTTCATGCAGAAACAATTTCATTATTTATAAACTCATTTGCATGGAACTGCATTAAAACAATAAAACCGTTGCATTGTGATTAAAATATCTGAATAGTTGGAATGATTTTGTAATTTGTTTATTTTATTTTAGTTTGGTTTAATTAATTTTTAAGCTAAATGTCATACAAGAAGCCAAGAGATGTAATTTCGTTCTCCGCTACTATTTATTTAAACAGTTTTTTGCAAATTTAATCTCAAAAGAGTTAAATCTCTCAACACCAACCACAGGGAAGATGGGTGCGGAGATAAAAGAAACCTACTATTGAAAACTTAAATATAACAAGAAAAGAGTAAAGAGAAATATCCAAAAAAAATAGAGCATATTTTAAACAATAAGAAGTGAAACGTTCTGCAAGGAAGAAATAAAATAGTTGTAAAACTGGCAGCTATGTCTAAATCAACATCAGAGAAAATTTATTAACTAGATGTCCAAAAGAAAACAAACATTTATTCTCCATTTTTAAAAAACTGTTCTTCACAAAAATGGCCTCTTCCATATATATCAATTGTGAACGGAAATTAAAATGTATTTATTTTTTCGGTTCTTGATAATTGAAAAAGAAGACCATAAACAAATATTATTTTGTATCAAAGAAAAACAAGTCACAAAACAGTAATTTTTCACGAAATCTTAATCTAAAAGTACGTCCAAAAATTTGTCCAAAAATTTGTTCAAAAATTTGTTCAAAAATATGTCCAAAAATTTGTTCAAAAATTTGTTCAAAAATTTAGTGGAGCAAATAAAAGTGAGTTCCATTTTAATTAGCTACAGAACCGCCACCCAATACCTTTGTCTTCTGATGGAAGGATGCAGTAGATGAAAGTGATATTCTTTACAACTGGCTAGAAAGCCGCTTTGATTTCGCATTCCTCATAAGTTTGGAGAGAAGGTTGGAAATTTTACAACCAGCCAGTAATGTTAATACCTTTGTCTGTGGTTGGAAGGAACAGATATTAGTGTGAGAGGTTTCATTGAGGAAGGACCTGTTCTCGCTAGTTCATCATTATTTCACAGTAATAGTTTCTTTATTTCGCTTCGAACGAGAAGTGGATCATTAAGAAAGCTTAAGTAGTTGTTTATTTCTCTATGAGAATACAGATTTTTCTTTGAGGTTGTTCACGATAACAGCGGGATAACAGACACTTAGAACTTCAAATACATCTATTTCTATCAACTGATTATTTTCCTTGAAATAGATGATACAATTTCTGAGTGGATATATGAAAACATAGTTTTTCGCCATATACAATACAAAAGAATGTTTCCAAACTTATTTTTAAATTATTCATACAATTAAGACGTAAAACTCTCTTTGCAGTCAGGTATATAGACAGGGAGCACTAAAAATTTGTGGTTTTTAGTTCAATTTTTTTTAATTGCTGAGTTTCACAAGAAACTCCAAAAGAGGTCCAGAAGCAATGAAACGAAATATGTAAAATTTGTCGAAAATATGTACAATAAATGAATTTCATTTATTTTTTAAAAGGATCAATTTATTTTTTATTATTATAATAATCAAATAATTTATTTCATCATATTGTTTAAGAGTTACTTTAAATAAAAATGTGTTTTAGTTAATCTGAAATCCGAAATATGTTGTCTTTAGATATTTAGACTATATATTTATGAGAGTATGGGACCTTTTGATAGTGGTAGGGACCTACGCTCGCGAGATAATGGCTAATATTTATTTTTATTTTAAGTGAAGTTTGAGCTGCTGTCTCTTCTCTATTATTACTAACTTAAGTTACTGACTCAACTAGCAAGAGTCTCGAGAGGTCGACAAAGTAGAGGCCAGTTTTACCGGACTGGAGCACATACCTGAGGTTTCTGCTGAAATCCTTATAAAATTCGATAAGAATACGCGCATCCTAAGTGATGCACACAATCGCTTAATGGTCTACGCGTGGCCTTTTTTGTCTGCCTAACCTAATGGGCAACCTAATACCCAATACCTACCGACTCAATTAGCAACTTCGGTATATGAACCAAAATAAATATATCTTAGAATACGGAACTGTGAACGTAAAACTACAAAAACTTATCAGAACGCAAAAATACAAAATTTGTCTAATAAATCAGAAATATTAAAAGGGAAACAAATTGTAGTCAATAAATGAATAAATAATAAATAATAAATAAACAAATATTCTTGTTTGTTAATTTGTAAATAAGAAGAATAAATCATACAGAACCCAAAATGAAACTGAATTATTTTAGTTGGTTTTACTCTAATTTACTGCTACAAAAAACCGTAAAATTCATTTACAGATATTATTTATTTATGTGTCTCACGCAAATTTTTAATACCGTTTCCATTAAAAAATAAGTAATAATTAATTGCGAACAAATAAATAAGCAAATTTTAATGCTAATATTAAAAATCAAATACATTTTAAGCTACTTTATCATGTCATATTAAATTATTTAGTAAATAGTTAATTTAATATTATTTATAAATGAACAGAAACAATTATCGTTGCTTATTGGAAAAGTAAAAATTAAACGGTTTTTTAGTAATTAGTAATTTAATGCAAAGTTAATTAAATAATTAATTGTTAGTATTTCATCATTACATTAGATTGGTACTTTAGTAATTTAGTAATTAAGTAATTAAGTAATTTAGTAGTTTCGCTTGTTTTGTTAATTTCAAATAGTTAATTTCAAATAGTTAATTTTTTTGATAGTAAAATTTAAATTTAAACAAAATGGCGTCACATTCAGCCCATTTATATGCCTAAAACTCCGGCCAGAGATACCAGGACAGGACACAAACGTGCCGTGCCGAGAAATGTTTAGTTTTTGGGACTAAACATTCTCGAGGATTCGAGGTCCTGCGGAATAAAACTGGCTTGAGTTTGGCAAATAAATTAGAACTGTTTAAGTGTTAAAGTTTTTCAATTTAAAATAAAATTTTAAATTTAAAATAATAATAATATTTTTAAATTTAAAATTTTTTATTGAAAATTTCATTTTGATTTAATGAGATTTTTTGTTGAATTTTTGTTCATTTTTATTTTCTTTTTGTGTACGCCACCATCAAAAACCATTTCCGAAATTTAATTTTCTTATCAACTCAAAAATTTTGGTAATGCAATTGTTTTACCTTTTTCCTGTTTTCGTCGTTTACGTTTATTGCAAATTTTTACTGCACAAACCGATAAAATGATCGCAACAATAAAAAACAGGATGCCCCCAACGACACCGGCTGTTATGGCTTTATGCTTAACACGTGCCGGCACCGGAAATTTCACTTCGTCACTGGATTCATAGGATTTTTCAGAATTGGCTAAGACGCGAAAATAATAGGTACGACCGCCGACTAAATTCTTAACTAAATATTGGGTTTCCTCGGGTCGGATTTGACCGCGATTTAGGGTTTTCCATTGGGCGTCGGTACGATACTTAATGGTGTAAAATTTAACGATATGGGCACGTTCGAGAGGTGATTGCCAAGATATTAGAAATCCATTCGAGACCTCCGTTACAGACACATTGCGCGGGGGACCTGGCTTGGGACCTAGTTTGTACAAAAAAAATGGTAAGAAGAATTATTTTAATTAATTGTCTTTTAATAAGTATAAAGTAGAGTAAATATAAATATATATAAATTGAAACAAAAATAATATTAATTTTATAAATTTTTTTGTGTTTTAATTAACTATATTATTTATATTAAAAGCCTTTTTAAACAGACGCTGATTAAACATGTTTAAAGTTAAAACACTTTCTATAAACTACTCTTATTTAACATGTTTAAAGTAAAAATACGGTTTTAAATATTCATAGATTAAGAGATTTTATGTTTAAAATTAAATAATATTGTATGAATTTCACTGCATTTGAGAGGTTTTACAGTTTAAAGTTAAAATGCTTCTGACATACACTTGCATCCTTAAACATGTTTAAGTAGTATATAGTTTAAGCAACTAATTTATTCGTTTTGGTGTTAAACAAGCTTAAATCATTTAATCATCTGCTTAAAAAGGCTACAAAAAGCATATTGTGATATGCAAAAGCTACAAAAGTTTATAATTGAGGAATTAGTAATTAATAGTAGTAAAAGATATATTATTTATATTATTTTAAAGTATTTTAAAGATAGATGTAATCATATTATATTTAATATATTCAATGCATACTTTCAGTATTTAATAATAAACCATTGCATTTTAAAACAATTTATACTTAATAAATTTTTTTAATTTTTAATAATTTTTTTTTTCGTATTAGTATATTTAGTAATTTTTTCAAATAAACAAAATTTATTTTGTGTACATAAAAACATGCAAATTTCATCGCTATTATATACAAATTACAAATTGCATTAATATAGATACAAAAAAAAAATTAAATTATTTCGCTACACAAAATAAATTTACTCTCTTTTTACTATATAAAACATAAATATATTTTTATTTATATATATACATATACATATATATAATCAACATATATATATTAATATATTAATATACATTTGTAAATAAAACTTAAATAAAAATTTGGTGAAGTATATATATAGGTTACCATATATAATATACATATATATACATATAATATATATATATATATATACATATATTATATAAATATACTTATATGTATGTAATTAATGTTTTGACTTATATATTTATAGCTCTTTTACGTTGCTGAAATACGAGTATCTACAAAAGGTATTATAAATAACGTTTTGTATCTGAAACGTAGCAAACAGTTTCAACCGATAATCCATTTCATAACATCTTAAATTGAAATGGAAGTAAAATAATTAATTTATAATGTTTTTTAACTGAAATTGGTGCAGTAGTTTACTTGAGAGATTTCAAACCTTGTGAAAGATTTACATGTTGAAGCTATCTAAAGTCGAACCGGCAAAATTTGTTCTACTGAAACGCGTTTTTTAATGTTAACCCTGATTAACTAGTCTATGCCTAAAATATTCCTAAGCATGTCTAATCCAAAAAGATATGCTTTAGTTCAATTTCTGAAAAAACTATTCTGACGAGATCTTTATTATCGTTGTGGCTTGTTTTATCACTACTAACCTGAGTCTGAATTAAAATGCACATCAAAACCTTAATCGGAGTTTATATATATATTGTGAGACATTGGGACAGCGCACCATCCAACAAGTGGCATCATTGAAGTGAAGGATTTGTCGAAGTAAACCACGAAACGACTTGGTTCCTTTTTCGTCTTTCGATTCTCAGATGTCGTTATTGAGTTAAACCTAGAGTGGCTTCTGTTCGCATAACTACATCTCTTGTTATTGCAAGCAGCTAATTAATCTTGAGGTTTGCTTTCAAGTCTTCACCAATACAATGGTGAGCTATTAAGTATAAACTTATAAGCCTAATTTAACCTTATACTTAGTAAGTTATAGATTTTTTTATACTTTATTCAGGCATGGTACTATTTGTCAAATTGCCTAAAACTTTTTTGTACTTCTTTTAAGGTTTAATTTTGTGTAGCAGCAAAATTAAATGAAACCATGAATTACCATATATATAGAAACAGCTCAGAGTTTAAAACCATCTAGAACCTTTGGCGAAGCGTAAAATGTTGCTCAATGTCAGGTCTTGTAATTGATCAAGATTTCGAAGACAGGGGACTCCTGATTAGATTATATCGGCGATCCCTGGGGGATCCACTTAGACCTATTGGCCCATTAGTGTTGCCATATACATAGGAATAGCTCAGAGTTTAAAACCATCTAAAACCTTTGGCGAAGCCGAAAATGCTGTTCAATGTCAGGTCTTGTAATTAATCAAGATCTCGAAGAGAGAAGACTCCTAAAGTGTTAAATCGGCGCCGGTCACGAGCTGGGCAAAAACTTAGTAGATGATTAAAAGGGAGATTTATTCTTCTAGCATGGTTTCCTAGTTTATAGTGACCTGTATAGAATGTGGTTATTTGCTAATAAATTTTAATATACGAGTATATTTTGCATTGCAACAAAGGATTATTCTTCTAACATTGAAATACTGAATGCTTCGACGAGTGCGGTAATAATTGCAAAGTGGGTTTTGGGGTTGATTGTAAAAGCATCGATGAGTTGTTCTGTATGAAAGGAGGAAATAGAGGGAGGTTATGTTTAGACAAAGTAGGCTAAAGTACAAATAGTAAGATGTTACTTTCATTCATTAAATCTTCAACAATTGAGGAAAAAGGTATGTATGTTATATTATTGTTCAGAGATATACAGCTAACGCTGAACACGGCTGATAAATATTTGAAAAATATTTCATTATTTGATACAAAATTAAATGGAAGTTACGTGTAGGCAAATTATCACAAATACCTTCAGGAATCGTTTAACATCAATTAAGTTGAACCGGAGCCGCTAGTGCAATAAGAACTTTCAAACAAAATTGATATTTGAATGTGATTTTGCACTCTAATGGGAAGAGTAACCTGGCGATATTTTATTTCTGCATTTTAAACGATTTGAGCAAATTTTTCAAAACAGAAACAGGGTTAGAAAGTATAGAAGATTAAAGAGAGAAAATAAAGAACTACAGTGGTTATGTTGTGTGGATCTGATAAAGCCTAATCGAATTAAGAGTTGAGCACTTAAGTCCTGCAACTTGTTGTCTGTCCCTCCGAGAAAAGAAGTAATCCTCCTAATGAATCCTACTTAATTGCAGATTTGAAACGCACTTAACTCACTTTTTACGGCCCGTATTCCCATTAAAGCAAAAAAGAAAACTTCTCAATTGAAAGCTGCTTTCCGAACTTGAAGGGTAAAATAATCCGCTTCGGCTGAGTACTTTAGATTTTAGCACTTTTTCACGTTAATGTTAATTTGCATAAAATTTTATTGCTTAAAAATGTTGCCTCTTCGCTTGTCGTCTTGCATGCCTGCCCTTAAAAATATACATAACGCACAATGGACTGCATACACTGAGAGAAAAATGTATGAAATCTTTTCCTTTTCTCTCATTTTTTTTCTCGTATCGCAGATACTTTGCTTTATAGTCAAAGTACAAATTAATTGGAAACTCATAACTTAAGGACATAAAAACTTTGCTATGCTATTCGGTAGGGTCCCTCCAAGCATTTATGCTCACATTTATGGTTTAAGTGTGTTGCTTAATATATGTGTATGTGTGTGAGCGTGCAAGTGGTAATGGTAGTGGTAGTGGTTGGGGTAGACGTAGTGGTGTTATATTTGAATGGTTAGGGCATATTTTAAGTGGTGTGTTTAGGGTTGAGCTCGCATGCATCCATCCAGTTTCGCAATTGAAATAGTAAATTATAACATTCACGCATGACGCCTTGTTTCCTGCACGCTTTATTATCCTTGCAACCCCTCCTTTTTTTTTGATTTTCTCTATGATCACACAAGCGCTAATATCGCTTCGCTAGGGTGCACCCATAGGTCTGTAGGTATGTCTGTACGCCTGTACGCCTGTATGTGTGTATGCATGTATGTGTGCATGTGTGTATGTCCTTGTTGTGTAAGGATTTGCGTATACGCCAATACTTGTACGTTTAATCCTTATTGCAAACGTTTAGAAATTCATGAATTCTTTTTAATCCTTTTCAGATTCATTTTTTTGTTCTTGCTTTTTGTTGTGTTTGTTGTGTTTGTTGTGTTTGCTGATGTTGTTGCTTTATCCTTTTTGGTGCTTTTGTTTCGTGCTTAGGTTCGGTTCGGTTCGGTTCGGTTCGGTTTGATTTATTCTATTTTCATTTTATTTATTAACATATGAAAAATTGAAATGAAAAGTTTGTGTTTTCAATTAAAAGCATAAATCAGAATTTATGACAATCCTTTAAACAAAACTTTTCATTTGAGTGGTTGAAAGTCTGTGAGTGTGAGTGCGAGTGTGAGTGTGAGTGTGTATCTGAGTGACTGTTCATCTAACTGACGTTTCATTTCATAGATTTTTCACAATCTCAGTTTGAAATTAGATTTCCAAATAAAATATTTAGTACAGAAGCAAACAAATTGAACATGAATAATAAAATTTTAAGTTGTACATACGGGATGGAAAAGATAAAAAAGGATACTTTTAAACGTATCCTTTTTATGTAAATATTTTTTGACTACTTTATTTAAAGCATATTCTAAAGAGTTAGAAGAATTTGTATCTTATTCAAAGGAAAAACATTTGACGTTAACAATTCATAAAATAATCGATAAAATGTATTTAAAATAAGCAACTGATACGAAATAGCTTCGGAGTTCTTGTCATGTAATTAAATATAGAAAAAAGCCTTCAAATTACAACTAAAAAGAGAGACAAAAACACTTTAGAAATTAGAAATAAATTGAAATTTATTCTAAAAATAAATTTTGAATTGGTGAGTAGGTTTTCGGATTGGTTAAAAATTTGATTGCTAATTTTGACATATGCAATTTCAAAGCCAGAGATACCGTGACAAAAAAAACAGTATTATATTGTAACAATTTCCTCTAACATAACATATACCTATGATACTTTCCCCCTCTGTCATATAGATACTTTTAGCAACTTCAAAACAGACGAGTTAGCCAGAGAGGGTGCTTTA